AATAGAAATGCACGTTAGTTGTGTTGTAATGTAAAAAGAACAAAGGAGACGACCTTAAAATGATTTGCATCGACCAATTCTTGATGAAGTGCAAACAACTTGAAAGTCGCCTAACAAAATTTGTGTATCAAAGTCAATGTTGAAGCATACAGGCGACATTATGTGTAACTTGTAAGTCGCATAGTGCAATACGTGCACAATAAGTCACGCACGTCTAGGTAAGAGAGTTGGTCTAAACCACTTCCCAAAGTTTCCTTTAAATAAGGAAGCTCAAAAGCGACCTTGAAGCTGCATATAAGGTCATGTTGGGTGGGACATTGGTATATCAGTATGATAATGTGTTTAATGAAGCATATGGGTAACACTATGTGTAACTTGTAAGGCTCCGAAGAACATGTCATGACTGAAGTGCGTCAAATTTATATCATGCTCAAGGAACACCATAATTCAAAAAAATTAATAAGTGGTATTGGTGTATTTGATTACGATAATTCTTTATGGTAAATGTACGGTACAACAATATGCTTTTGAGTTGAAAATGGAAAAAAAAGTAGCTGAAAACTTAAAGTTGAGCTCACAAATCTTATTTTTTATCCATGTGGGACGAGTTGTTATAGTCTTATAAGTTTTGGTTTTACTGCTAAAAAGTCGAGTATGGATAGATTTTCATTTTTTGTTAAAGGTTATGTAATCTAATTTAAATAAATCGAGTTTATTTTTTTGTTTGCTAGAATTGATAATTCGTCTTAGCTGTAATGCTTTGAATAAGCTAAACCTTAAGAACTTGTTTAGAGTTGTTTATCAATTAGGAAAATAAAAGAACATGTTGTTAAAACTGTATAACTGGTTTGATAGTAAAAAAAAGTTTTTTGCACCTTGACTATCATTGAGACTCGAATTGGAACCAAAATTACTAGATTATTGTTTGCTTTTTTTTTTCTTCGTTTTAATCATATCAAATCCAAATTTTTCTAGTTTGTGTTTACTACTTCTTTAAACTCAACTTCCCTGTTTCCTTTAATTGCAATGTTCAAAGTTGGTATAAAAGGAATTACAGTGATCTTTACAGATTCGAAATTATTTATCAATAATACATACAATAAATTTGTTTTAACTTAAATATAATGTAAAGTTAAAGATAGGAATAGGAATAGGACACTACAAAGGTGCAAGGGACAACATATGTAGCAAGGACCTTTATGTGGTGCCAAATGATCAGACAAACGTTGGTACCTTCTAACCATTACCATTGTACTCCGTTGAAACATAGTCTTTGTTGCACAAGTTTTAGAGTTAATTTGTGTAATTAAATGTTTCGTATATATGTTCAAATGTTATGTCCAATCTTCATGTTTACGTGTTGTATGTTAATACCTCACCTCACTTGTCATCATTTTACATGATACTTTTTGAAATGGTCTACGTATGATAAACTCAATTACCATAATAATTGAATAGCAACAAGCACCTCTGGGCACGTCAAGGTTGAAAGCAACACGAGTAAAGAAAAGGACAGGTTTGATATACCGTACGTTGTTAAGTTTACATTTATAATTTTTTTATTTATGTCAGTTTGAACCACATTATTATTCTAGTCAAATCATCTCTAAGGGGCCGTTTATCAAACATTTACCCGGTAAGTGTTTATCGATAAAATCTAACACTATCAATTACTTTACATGTAAGATTTAAACGGTATCGTGTGATAATAGTTGTTGCCCTCACTTACCGGGTAAGATTTTTGGTCTATGTCTCGCTCTTACCTAGCTATACATATGTTTATAAGATTGTTTATAAAAGTTATTATTTATATATACAATTTTTATTACAAGTCACATCCCTGTAAACATAAAGTACATTTTATGTTTGCAGATAATATTTAGTACAAGAAATATATTAAAAAAAACTTTGAATGGTCTATTTTTGCTACTCAAACATTTATTTAATTTTCCTAACACCTATTAAATATTTTAGAAATAAAAGCAATGGTTTAATTGAATAATGGGTTGTATTTGATTTATAAAAAAAAAAAAACGTATCATCATCATCATCATCATCATCATCATCATCATCATCATCATCATCATCATCATGTATATGATTAAACCATAAAAAAGGTATGTTTTATAAAAAGAAAATGGTGAAGAAAGAAAGAAGCCCAAATATGTAGTCAAAGATCAAGACTAAAGCTAAAGCCGAAGCCGAAGCTGCTGCTGCACCCCATTTTACTACTCTCATTATTATATTTAATTTAGATAAATCACCTTTTTAGTCCCTCTACTTTCTTCAAAATTCCCATTTTTGTCCTCTTCATTTTGAAATTATAATTTTTATCTCTATAGTTTAGAATTTATTGTTTTTTTTCTTCCTCATGTTTTACAATTTATTTCTATTTTAGTTCTTCATACTTAAAAATAATGTTTTGGATTCAAGAACAAAAATAAAAATAAATTGCAAACCATATGGATGAATACATAAAAAATTGAAGTCACAGGGATGAAATCTGCAAATCTAACAAACTACAGGGACGAAAAACGTAATTTAGTCTTTAATTTATTAAGTTATGAATAAATATGTATGTATTTATTAGAAGAAAAAATAAAATAAAATAAAATGAAGAAGTAAAAAAAAGGTTGGTGGATAAAATTTAAAAAGAATAGAAAAAAAGTAGGGGATGAACATCCACATGTGACATTTGACAGTTCCCTTTTATAGTTTGAGCAACTTTTTTTATTTCAATTTCCAGAAATAAATATAAACACTGTTTTTAACTTTTTATCTTTTACATATTACTAGATAAATATGTATGTGGCTTTTTTATGTAATTAAAGCTTCAACTATTTTACTCCATTAAATAAGAAATAAACCATGTGTTTAATTTTATCTTATTTATTTAAAACAAACAAATAAATGAAAACAAGTTTCGAATTTTAAAAAACAAAACAGAAACAATAAGCTTTATGTTTACGACTTGTACCATGACCAAATGAAGACCATCTAATACCATAAGCTTTTAGTACTCTTCAAAACATAAAAAATACTTGATTTAAAAAAAATTAAAATGTTTTTTGTGATAGATCTTGATTAGTATATATGGTTTTTTTTAATTTGTTAGTGGTATTTCTTTAATCACATTTAATATTCTTTGATTTATAAAAATAAACATTTAATTATTTGGGTAACCGATTATCATCTTGATGTAGCAAGTGAGTTGATATCCAACTCAATACTATTTGATAACGTGGTTAATGACATGAATTTTTTAATTAAAAATTAATTTTTTTAATCTAAAGTTAATATTCAATTGATTACCTGGATATTTAAATATTTAATTTTAATGAAAGTTTTGAAAATAAGTTATTTAAATAGGAATTAAATTAAAATATATTATTTAATTTATTATTATTAATTAAGATAGCAAGTAATAATTTAAAGAATCATGAGGGACGCAGACCGAGGCGAGATCCTCGCCATTTGTCATTGAAATAAATATGGATCTTAATCTTAAGATTCCTCTTTCCAAAATATTCATATTCATATCAACACTCCATAATATTATTAATACCTTTCAAATTAACAATAACATCCAATCCATGTATTATATATTGCTTATTTTAACTCATAATTAATAAACTTTGATTAATTAAGATGTATACAAGCCGATTCAAATATCCATGCTTATTAATTTACACCCAAATAATCAAATTACAAGAATAGATCATATATAGTCACCTCTCTTATCCAAATCAAGGCTAGGAAAAATAAAACAATGGCGATTTTGTAATTACGAGAAATTCATACCATAATGTAACAAGTCTAACGTGTGGTTAGGGTAAAATTGGAAGCGAAAAACGGCTGCTTCATTTCCATAATTAGGCTATATTTAATTGGAAGTGACTCTTTTCATCCTCCAAAAATTGGTAAATGGAAAGAAACCCTTCTTGCTCGAGGATGCCATCATCTCTCACAACGACGTTAACGTTAGCTTCTAAATGCACAAAACGTGGCTACAAATTTATTGCTTTAATAATATTAATTGACATCAATGTTGAGATAATGAATGGAAACCACGAATTTGTTAGACTTGACCGAACATTTTGAAAATTGTACAACCTAACCAACCAATTATTTGATTGGAAGTAACAATAACAATAGGTGACATTAGAAGATTGAAGGACCAATGAGAGGTTACTAAATGCAGTGCTTAATAGTTAAGTTCATGTTTGTTGATGATGTTTAATAATATAGTTTCAATTATGGTTGTTTAAACTTTATTTCTACTACAATTAATTAGAGATAATGTTATGGTATTCAATTATAATTTTAATCACAACCATAAATTAACTTAATTGTTAGTTTATTGGAAATTGAAAAACCATATTTGATAATCAAGGAACTATCTTATTACGATTTCAATTTGCTCTTTTTCCTTTCTTATGTTTATTTAGTGAGAAGTTCAAATAAAAAGACTAGATATCATGAAAAAGGTAATAAAGAAGTTGTAAAGGGAAATGTTCATATATGAACCGTTGAAAAATCCATTTAAAGATGCATATGTATGTATGTAAACCTATATATATATATATATATGATATTGTGTGTATGATGTGTGTATATATATATATATATATATATATATATATATATAAATGTAGAAAGAAGTAATTGGGAAAGGGAGGGTGAAAACGAAGGTGAGGTGACAGTTGATTGGAATAAGTTATGAAACCGAAGCATTGTTGATAGTTGATACTCCTCATAGTACTACTTCTGCAACTATTTCTGAATTCTTACCATACTCCCCCTCCCCCATTTTCATTTTTATTTAATTAATTAATTAATTAATTAAATATGATTAAATAAAAAAGGAGGCGTACGTAGCAGTGACAGTAGTAGCAGCAGTAGTAGTAGGAACTGCAACTACAGTCACGTGCGGCCTTCTGCCTCCTCCTCTGCCCATTCACCATCTTCCTTCTTCACCTTCATCTCCATCTCTTTTCTTCACTTGTGGTTTTAATGGTGAAGAGTGCGGGAGTGAGTGAGTGAGCCAGCCACCGAGTTCATTAAATTCATTACTTTGTATTCATAAATGTATGTATACACATTATTGTCTCTGTACCAACTCAACTAGGCCTCTCTTCTCTCTTCTGCAACAATTATCCCCACTCTGTCACCACCAGTAATAATTTCCAATTTCCAATTTCCAATTTCCTTACCCTTCCTTCATACCTACTCCTACTCCTACTCCTCTTACTCTCTTCCTTCCTTTCTCCCATGGCTTCTCCCCATGGATCTCCGCCGCTTCCAAGACCCAAGTCGCCGCCGGAGTTGTACGGCAAACGAAGAGAGTTCGCCAAAGTTGTCATGTTGGAAAGAGAAATTGGTTTCCTTCAGGTGTTCATCTTCAATTTTTACTTTTTTTTTTTTTCACTTGGAAATTGCTAAATTTAGGTGCTCTTCCTCATCAACACGCTTCAAAACCTCCAGGTTTTGTTTTTGCCCGCCACTTGTTTGTTAAAATGTCTTAATTTGGCAAATATCATAACTTCAAACTTCCATGGTTTCTTTGGAAGAAGCCCTTATATATACGTACTTCACCGCTGCTTCTGCTTCTATACCCTCGATCTACAGATCAAAACCATACTTCTTCTTTTTTTGCCTAATTTGGTACTTGTTGTTTACGAGCAGGAAGAGTTGAAGTCCATTGAAACCTTACGCCCTGCTTCTTCTTGCATTAAAGAGTAAGCCAACCACTTTTTATTTTTATTTTTATTTTTATGCTGTTTCTTTCATAATTTTCAATTACCCAACTTCCAATTCACAGGGTTGCTGATTATATGGTCGCAAATCCAGAACCATTGATCACTACGTAAGACCCTTCAATCTTATCTTGTTTCTGTTTCAAATCAACCATCATCTTCATTGATCTCCTTTCATCCAAAACCAGGTGTAAGAAGACTCGTAAATCTTGTGGTTTCTGGAAATGGCTATGGTATATATCACCACACTATCTTTTCTATTTCTAATTGCATTTTTATAACCATATTTCATTTGCTATTTTGCTGCTTGAAATCAACATGAAGTTGTTGTCTTACTTGTAGCGGAAATTCCTGCTTCAATATGTCATGGGTTTGCTGCTGCTGCTGCTGCTACTGCTGCACTTCTCTTCAAACACCCAAGTGCTGCTGTTCCTGCTCGTTTCCCGAATGTTGTTCCTGCTCGTTACCAAAATGCAGTTGCGGTTTCCGGCCAGGTTGCCCAAAATGTTTAAAAGAATGCTTCTCTTGCCCCAAATGCGACTGCCCAAAATGCGACTGCCCCAAATGCCCATCTTGCCCCGATTGCAGTTGTTGCTGCAAATGTTCATTCTCATGTTGCTGTCCAAAACCCAAGTGTTCTTGTCCTAAACTTCCAAAGTGTACAAGTTGTGCTTGTTTTAGCTTAAAGTGCTGTTATAATTGTTGTCAATGTTGCTAATCAAATAAACATACACAATGACAATTTCGAAGTTTTGATTCATTCATTTCCATTCAATAAGCCATAGAAACAACAAACATCTATTTCTATTACATTAGTTTTTGAAGCACAAGAAACGTGACCCATATTTGGTTTTCGTGTTCCTATGTGCAAGCAAAAGGATCTTATAGAACTAAAATCACCTTTCGAGCGGGTGGACTTCAATGGTAAATATTATACAAGCCGTGCCCAGCCGTACGCAACCGGGCTCCTAACTTGGTTAAGATCGTTCTTCCAAGTTATCGAGCCAAAAGCATCCCCACTGCCACTCTTCTTGGAGACGAATGTAACTGTATACCTCAACTTATCTCCAACATTCTTGAAAACTAGCCTTTTTGGTTTCACACCAACTTGAACTCCTTCTGGTGCTTCAACTGCCACATCGTAAGTAGAATCCGCAGGGCCAACATTTGTTAGCTGCCGGGTGTATCTAACTACTCTCGACTTCCCAAAAAGGACAGAGAACGATGGGTAGTTCAGCCGACCTGGATCCCCCAATCTTCTGGAACAGGTAACATTTGCACGGTTGACAATGGCTTGTACTTGCTTGATGTCATAGCCCAAAGAGCAGACGAACGCAATGTACTCCTCAGTTGAGATATCGTATACAAGCCCAGGAGAGATGGCTTTGTGTGGTTCAACATGGCCGGCTCCATGAGCCCAAGGGGTAGAAACTTGACCTCCGGCTGCATCACGTAGCGGTGATTTGGTGTTGTCAACTGTGTACGCGGTGGTCATGAGGGCGGATTTGATGGCACTCGGGCTCCATCCTGGATGTGCTGCTTTCAGCAATGCAGCCAAGCCACTGATGTGTGGGCACGACATGGATGTACCTGAAAATAATAAAGCCATTTCCGTGAATTAGAAGTGGGTAAACAAACAATCAAACCCCAAAAGAATTGTGAAAGTGTGGTCTGAATGTAAAGGAAAGAATGACCTAACCCACTCACCACCCTTACACCCCACCCATCCACTCTTCCCAAAGGGGTGGGCTAAATAGCCACCAACACAACTGGTACAGACCTCTAGACCCATGTGTGCAGCCTAGTGCTCACGACTCTAAGGTACGTTTTTTATTTGTTAGCAGCTTAATACTTTTGTAGTGGCTTAATGATATAGAAAATGACTTATTCAATAAGCTTTTGTTTTTTTGCAGAAAATTGAATACAAAACAACTTTATATTCATATAGGATTTGATGGAAAACCAACCAAACAATCCCTAACCGTCCCGTCATGTTTAATAACAAAAAAAAAAACTAGCCGATAAAAATGTACAATAAATAAATAAATTAAAATTATATGTTTTCGAAAAGTTGATGGAAAAGGGCTTCTGTAAAGCCACAGAAATACTGAAAATGGTGCCAGCACAAGAAAGCCACTCAAAGTGAGGAAATCAATGAAAGCATCTTCTTCCACAACCCAATGCAACTTCATCATGTGCACATGTTCACTGCTCTCCCATTTAAAATCTTTAAGGCTTCACTCCAATAACATTATTTTAATGATTTGCATCAAATTTTATGATCAGATTATTACTACATTTCAAGAACAAATATTATATTTTGGGAATTTGGATTACCTGACATAATATTGAACTGAGTTTTCCGGGTATCGATATCCAACCCGGTGGGTCCGACCCCTTCTGACCATCCAGCCAAGATGTTCACTCCCGGCCCAATAACGTCCGGTTTCAATATCTGAGGTGTCACCATGTTAGGACCTCTGGAACTAAATGCAGCCACCACCGGCGACGGCTTAACCCCCAAAACCGTCCCTCCAAAGCTAAGCACCGCCTTCGGATTCGGGTCTATTTTCAAATACTCTCGGATTTCATCCGCAAACCTTTTTCCGACAGCCACCGCCGGCAACAAATGGCTGTCGGCGACCAACTCCTCCCCACTCTCTGCCGTGTTCCCAAGTATCATTCCGATCCCTCCAGCTTCCTTCACCACCTGCCCCTTTTCGACACGTGGATTGACACCCCTGTCACAAAAAACCACTTTACCACGTACAAGCTCCGGTTGAAGTGATCCCGGTAAACACAAATTGCCGGAATTACTGGTTCCTTTACCGTTAAAATAAACCAATTCCACCGGTTTATCACCCATACCTATTCCACTATACAAAGACACGCCGTTGATACGTTTTCCGTTTCCTAATCCGGCATATGCGGGAAAATCTCGGTCTAAAGTTCCGGCACCGACGGTCATTATCCATGGAGCCACGTTGGCAAGTGAAGCCTTAGAGGGTCCGCTGTTTCCGGCGGAACACGACACGAACACGCCCATTTCCATAGCTTTAAACGCGCCGATGGCAATTGTGTCGCGATAATAAGGCGCAGAACCTCCGCCGAGAGACATAGACAACACATCTACACCATCGGAAATTGCACTGTCCATTCCGGCAAGGATATCGGAACCAAAACAACCGGTTTTCCAACAAACTTTATACGTCGCCACCCGCGCGTGAACAGCCATTCCACGCGCCGTCCCGCTAGCAAAGCCAAACAAACTGGCGTTCCCCACTTGCCCACCGGCGGCCGTCGTGGAAGTGTGTGTTCCGTGACCGTCTTGGTCTCGTGGCGACTCCTTTTCCTTGGATATAACCCCCGCTGCCAGACGAAATCCTTTGGAAAACTTGCGAGCACCAATCAGTTTCTTATTACATAAATTCGCCTTGAAATCTTCTCCTTCTTCACACTGACCACGCCACCGACTGGGCACAGGTGGCATCCCGGAATCGTCAAAGCTCTTGGACTCCGGCCAAACTCCAGTATCAAGCACGCCGACGACGACATCATTGGCCGCTAAATTGAGTTGTTGAGGCGTGTGACCAGACCACAAACCTAATTCATTATCAATCCCTAAAAACTCAGGAGTGCGAGTAGTGTGGAGTTGGTAAACGGTATCTTCATAAACACCAAGTACAGAATCCGATTGGCGGAGGGAATCGACCTGGTGGGGATCCAAAGAGGCGGAGAAACCGTGGAAGGCTGTAGTGTAGGAGTAGAGGATGGCATCAGGGGTGGTTGATGCGAGCGATTGTAATCGGTCGGAATACCAATCGTGATGAGTGAGATAGGATGAGGGTTTTTGATGAGGATCCATTTGAACTATGAAGGTTCGTTTGGCATCATGAAGAAGGGGTAGTAAGAAGCATAGGGATAGCCATAGCCATAGCCATGGGAAGGAGGGCATGGTGGATGGAAGAGGTAATTACAGATGGATGAGGAAGATGAGATTTTGTGTGGCAGTGTCAGAATGGAAGTGATCAAGGAGTGGTCTTATAAGCGACTGTTGTTACATTTATTACTTCAAATGCCATCATCGCCAATCTTTATTTCCTTAAATCTTTTTTACTTAATGTTTTTAATCAAATTATTTTTATCAATTTGTTTCTTATTTTGGCACCCCACTTCAAGACTCTAGAAAATAATTATACAACAACATCAGTTAAATAAAAACACTGAACATAATATAATAAAGATTAGAAATATAGAGCTAACAAATTTATAAAATAACTAATGTTTAATCCTAAATAATTTTTTTTACTTTTTATAAACAATTAGAGATTAATAATAATAATAATAATAAAAAGTGGTAGACATACATTTGTTTTTATTAAATTAAAGAATTTGGGAAAGAGGTGGAAGAAGGTCACAAGGCATTTGTTTGGTTCTTAAAAAACAACTCCCGATATTTCCATTTGCACCATCACATGCAAATGTTTTTTTTAACTGTTTGAGCCACCATTAATTTTAAAGATTTGAAAAAACAGTAAAAAAAATCTTAATAGTTTTTACAGGATGAAAATCCTTATTTATATTTAAGCATTTTTTTTTTTCAATTATATTGTTATTTAATTTATGAGTTCTTTCTTTTTTAGAAATTTGCGAATAACAAAAGCTTTGAAGTAAGAAAATGTAAGGAAGAAAGGTTATTTTTGGGAAAACACATGATGTATTGGTACGCATTTCTATGACCCGTCTGTTTGTGAGAAAGCAAACCCAAACCTTTCTTCCCCACCCCACTTCATTTAAATAATAAAACAAAAATTTATTTAAGCGCCTAAAATAATAATAAAAATAAAAACAAAATAAGAAAAAGGAGGTGCAACGGCTCTTTTTATTAATTCAATAGTTTTCCCCCATACCTTCTTTTCTGCCCGTTGAGTTGTACCCTTTTCCTTTTCCTTCTCTTACTTTTTTTTTTCTTTTTCTTTTTGACTTTACTCCATAATTGAATATTATAAGACGATATGTCCAATGAAGAAGAAAATAAAACAAACCATTTCTATATAATATATATAATTGAAGATGTTTTTTGGTTTTAATATACATGTACTTTCATACTATACAAATTACTTGCATGTACATATGCATACCTTGTAGATGGATAGCTACCGGAATGTTTCTTAGTTTATTCTTGTTTGTATTCTTGTGTTTTCCCTCAACTAAACCCTATCTATAATATAAGATCAAGAAAAAAAAACTCCTAAAAATGAAAAACAAAAGAACAACCTAATAACCATTTATCTGAACAATATACACATGTACATACAAATAGTTATAGTTGTTTATTGGTTTTTATGCATATATGAATACCGAACAAATTGCTTACAATGTATGCAAATGTACATATCATCCAAATAAATGATTGTTAGAATGTTTTTCTATTTATCCTATATATATATATATATATATATATATATTTAATTTCGGGAGTTGAAGAGAAATGAAAAGTTAGTAGAAATCTTACTGATTATATGCATGTGAGAGAGGTGGGGGCCAGCCACCCAATATATGAGCGCAAATAATGGCGCCATCCCGGACCTCATATGAACATATGACGCCCGCCTTGCTCTATAATTTCACCCTTCATCCCCTCTTCCTCTTCCTCTTCCTGTTCCTGCCATTCAACATTTAATTTAATTTAATTTAATATAATAATAATTTTACATGTCCATATCATATTATTGAAGCTACGCCTGCTGTCACTGCGTGTAAAACGGATGAGCCCCCTTCCCCAATTCAGACTTACGAGAACACAAACAGACAAACTGAGTCAAGAGTCTTTCTTCCACATTTGCAGGCACAACAAGACACACATCTACCATCCACATCAATCATTCAAATTTCTAAATAAAACCAATCAACATAAAATAACCCAGTAAATAACTCATGAAACTTCTATCATTCTGGGACGCGCTTTCATAAACCAACACTTTTTACTCACTTTTCAAAGCCTCCTCCCAAAATAGGACAGATCTTTTACACAAATGCGTAAAAACTGATTTATGGAAGAAACGAAAATCCTTACGCATATACGTAAGGATTCTTTAAGCAAAAATTTATCTCTTTTTCTTTTTTTAATCTGAAAATCGAGTTTACACATTATGCATTTGCATAAACTCCGACTAAAATGGAAATTCAATTGAAAAAGTGGCTAAAAAATGAAAGTTGATTTTGGGGGGGGGTATTTTGGTCAATTTCCCCTTCTTTCACTCAACAAACCCCTTTTACTAAAGTTGATTCCATCACATACCTTGTCTCCCTTTTCCCACCAATTATCATCTTCATCAATCCCAATTTGCATCCATAATCTTCAATCACATTACAAAACTTCTACCTATAACTAAAAGAAACATGATTTAGGTAGATCCCATACAATATATATATATATATATATATATATAGGTGGTATGGTAGGGAATAGATATCAACTCAGTGGTACCGAGTGTTGTACAGCACCATTACCCCCATCATACAACTTTTATATTAATAATGCATCTTCATACAAACACTAGGACCAAATTCAACAACAATGGAGCACTAAAACCACCACTGCTCAACATGATTTATATATCCACATACCCAAAACAACAAAGTCCAATATAAATGATTCAAGATCCATATGATAATAAAAATTAAAAGCTTTATCATATCATAATTACAAAAAATAAAGAGAAACAAAAAGCATACACATGCTATCTTAATACATCATGACTTCAATATCATAATTCCTCTTTCTTTTATGATGGAAAAAGCAACCTAATCATAATAGGCACATGCGTCATTGTCTACACATCTCTTCCAAGGAAGCCATCTCATATAAAGTCATGTACACATCAATAAAGACGCTGTTTTACTTTATGTTGGTACTAAATTACATATATGGGCAGTTTTCAACAGAAAAGGTAGATCAGAAGGTTGTTACTTTTTCATGGATTATTGACTTACCAAGGACTTGAGCACATGTATATAGTAGTCTTATTCTATTCAGCCAGTAAAACAACCTATCATTGGAGCTATTTTACTTCACATCTTCTGTGCTACATTTTACTGATCATAATCATTGGAAAAGAACAAAACAAACAACATGTAAGCATCTTATAACAATATATTCTTGAGACAAAACAGAGAGATTATGTAGTTGTCTGCTACAGATCTAGGGAACAACAAGATATAAGTCAACCAAATCACAATCTATTCATATATGATGTTATATTTTAACATATACCTAGATCCACTACACCAATAGAGTTTGAGTAACCATGTGTTAGGAAGCTAACCTCTTTAATTAAAGCCTTGATCTTGATCAGCCATTGCCACCACCACTTCCCACATGCTAAGAAACGGTAAAAGATCTGATCAACCCAAACTGTTCCCACAATCACTTCCCACATGCTGAAGGGCAGGTTCTGGGAATATGGCTATTTCTATGATAACTGTGGGCAAATGAGCAAGACGAAGCATACAAACCAGAATTCGATGAACAAAGGAAAACAATTTTTTAACCTTGAAAAAGTGTTTATCGTGAACGATAGACATAAACAGAGAGCAGATTGATGAATTATGGATGTAAACAGAGAGATAAGAGAAGTCACGAAAACCAGAAATTACTACATTTCTTAATCCTAATATTACAGGTCCATAGTTTAATAATATAGGTTAAAGAAAATCATCCAGTGTCCAGTGATGAAGTAAAACTAGAAATATGAGAATAAAGTTGTTTAATCATCACTCGATCAACAAAGGCAGAGATAGATATTTGGTCCAACGGTTCAAATGCAGAAAGTTTCTAGTGACCATACTTCTGAAATTCCCATTCGCTATTATCTGCAACAACCAAAGCACAAACTGAGTGAAAATAATGTCGTAAATGTGGAGTAACAAAATAACAAGTAAAGGTTGGCGATTGGCATACCCAATGGACAGACTTGACGAGTTTTGAGCCATCTGCTAATACAGTGAAAGTGAAATGCATGATTGCAGACCCCTATGGACATGGAAAAAGAAGGTGACATTTAATCAAATTAGACAGAAGACTAACACGAAAATAAAGGAGGATAAGACCAACAAAAGTAGGGATAAAGTTGGTTTGAGAACCACCATTTGGAAGAGGAAGGGTTTGAAATCATCAATGACAAGTTGACAACGACCACTTCTTGAAATAACTTTACAATTGCATTTACATCCAGCATGTCAGATAAGTGATTTGCCTGTTATGTCAGATTACCCAAATTTCTAATCATGGGACATTTACACAGGTCTACTCCATCTGAAGTTACCAAGAAAGACCAAGGTACTGATATTTGGCTTTTGTTGAAGTTATTAATCATGGTTCATATTTAACTTAACCAACCTACCATACTTGAAAGTACAGACTGCAAGTAAACATACGACTTTAAATTCTTGATCTCAGAATTGCAAAAGAAAAATATTGGGTCAGTAAAACATTACATGGATTCCCCAGAGCTTTGCACAACAAGCCAATTTTGAAATCAAGAAGGGGATGGGCATTGTGGAGGAAACAAAACAAGTATTGCAGGATCTCCTGCAGCCCGAGAATATGTAAACTATGATTTGGGTCCGACATATAATCAAAAATTTACCCAATAGCCTCTCAAGCTCCTTGAGCCTAAGTCATAATATAGCCAAAATACAAACTATGAATACCCCCTCCAACATTTTCTTAGAGAGAGTGCCTGAAGCTAGATATATGAAATCCCCCTCAAACAATTTCTTGTTTACATTCACAATTAGGTTTTTTTGTATTATTTTTATGTAACACAAATTCCTATTTGAAGTTGAATAGAGAGTGTGTTTGGCAAGACACTAGTTAATATTAAATTATCACTCAAAATGTACGAACTTTTGCAAAGTTCTATTTCCCTTCTCTGTTTAGTTGAATCAAATATCGAAATCTACAAAAAGCTTACAAGTCTAAGACCAATGCTTAATTTCATTTGCTAGAGGGGAACAACTTGAAATAGTGCAATGGCTAGCATAGTCAAATGCATGCCCTCCTCCATCACCCTCGCTTTGGACGGGCTATGCAATACGTGAAAATTTTAGTCACATGATATTGGTTCTTTATGCAATCCCAAAACACTAGTTACCTAAATGTCAAAATTTTATTTAAAATGTACAATTCTTTCACTCAAAGCATGATAGGCCTATGTATCTTATCAGTTAAATCGATTTGAATGCCTGATTTTCAATCTTCAGAGGGTGGGAGACTGAGATCAAGGTCTATGACTGCAGGCATGAGGTGGAGAAGGAAGTAGAATTCGAGAGAGGAGGGAACCCAAAAAGTCCAGTTCAATGTAAATTAAAGAGGAAAACAAGAGTCTACTCTTGGATTTGAAACCATAACCTCATTGAAGTCAAGTAGTTAATGTGTGCTTTTTAGCAACCAAGTTAATGAACATATAACTGATATTTATGTCCAAAAACATAAATGGTTGTTGAACTCTGTTTTTGTGAATGTAAATAGAAAATGTAATCTTCGTTGAGCACCACCTATGCTTGAGTAAAATGCAGATGTTGAGAGCAAAATGAAGAAAGTTTTGGTAGTATAATGAGTTCATTGAAATGACCAAAGGGTCTTTGGCCTAGCGGTATCATAGTCTCTGGCCTCCTAGGAGGTCAGGGGTTCAAACCTCACCAAAGATGAGGAGGTTGTGTGAGTTTATTTATTACATTTGCCGTATATAAATATTATATACTTAAAAAAAAAGTTCACTGAAATGGTTTTGCTCAAACTGAATAGTCTTGGCTATTGAACAGTTGAACTATGAGGAGCAAGCAACCATGCCAATTGTTTATAAAAAAATAGTAAGCAATAAAAATCCCATCAAGTTACTGAGGACACAACTCGATTGATAAAGCGATTCTTTGCTATTGATAAGCTTGTTACCACAGTACTACTCTAAACTCTTAACCACATTAGTTCCAATTATATTTACTAACTTAACCTTCACAGTCTAAGAGACAAGAAAACTCATGCTTGTAACCATTAAATATTAAATTCAACATTTTAATCCCATTTTATGATTGCCCACTAGATCAACCTTCAACTGGTGAACATATATCAACAGCAGATACTCCATTAACCATGCAAATCACGAGCTAGGTATTCCAAAACAACAACAAAATTTTAGATACAAACAAAAATGAATTCGTAAAGCATATTATGCAAGTACATACGTAGTTTGTACAACAAGCAAAACTTGACAAATAGAAATATTCATATCTCCTTACCAGGTACAAGAAAGAAAAAAGAGACATGCTATTCTAGATCATAAAGCTTGCAAATAACATTATGTGTTAAGATTCTTAAGAAATAGTTTGGAATTCCAAGAGAGTATACATACCCCAAGCAACTGTGCATTCCTCACTGGTAGCACTGGCTTGGTTAGCCTGACATTCGATGCCTGCCAATCAACAAAACTGTGAGAACTCTGTCTTGTAAAGAACATAACACATGTACCAGTACAGCTGAAACAATGACCCTTCATCAAAGACTAAAATCTCCTACACTTGTGGGTCAAAATTCTTTGAACCCAACACTCTACTTGTTGTCTTTCCAATATTTGATAAGATTCTTAGCTATTTTCAAAAAACAAAACTTCATCCTTCGCGAAAGAAGACAACAAACAAAAATACATAAATGAGGAACCCAAATTTATAACTGATTCAAAGGACTAATTCGCATTTCATACTCAATGCTATAGGGATCGAGTTTAATGCAGTTACAGAGTTATCGTTTTTCAAGACCAAAATCATAACTTAGTGGGGAAAGTCACATGTTTGAGCCTCACTGCTTTTGCCGATGAAAGAGAACTAGAATGCCCTCAGTTATAATTTACTTCACTGATTAACTATGTGGGTACAAACTGAATGGATCCTGGCCTCTTATTCAGTACGAGGCATGAGGTGTTTGTTCATTTTTCCCCTCTTATTCAATGTCCTTCTCCCCATTCAGAGCCCGACTTTTTCATCACTGCCCTTGTTGTTTCTCTCACCAGCTTGCTTCTCGTTGGCAACCCAGATAAATTTTCCAGACCAGTGTAATATCCTATATTCCTATTAAACCTGTCACATCCTTCAATTTTCTTTTTTATTTGATTTAGAACATTGTAAATAGCTGGCCCAACCCAGTGTCTTTGTTTAACTACCAGACTTGTTAATTGAAATTCAACTTATTTGGTTGTTCAATTCAGTGTCAAATTAGTCAAGTTGGCCTTTCAACACCCGGACTTTTTTGGGTTTCTCACAAAAATGCTGAGCTTGTCAACGAGCTTTGTCGCCCAACCAGAGGTCATATTAAAGAGGGTTAAAACGAAAAAACTGTTAATAATATCCAATGTAACATCCTCATCCATGGCAGAGAAGACAATGCTAGTGGTCGTGGTGGTGTGGAGGCTGCCAAAAGTGGTGAGGTTGGGAAAGGGAGTAGAGGAGGGAGGAGGGAGGAGGGAGGAGGGAGGAGGAAAGGGAAACTAAAGGGGAATGCTAGTGAAAGTACGAGTGCAATGGAGATCAATAACAGAAAGACAGCTCTGCAGGAGAGAGAATCAGCTGAAAAAGAGATGGAGAGTTGAGGCATGTTGTTAGACACCAAAGGTAGGAATTGGAGGCTCGAATGTTGGAGGTTTCAAGCAAAGAGGCTGACTGCAAGCGGTCAAATTACAGGTTCGTTGTCTGGAACTAATGCAGTCATGGTTGTGTTTTCTACCTTATGCATTTCTGTGGGTTTTCTATGTGCTGAATTTTTGCATGGCAATTTGTATTCTTAGAGCAATTGATCAAGGAAGTAACGTTTGGATTACATTATGTGGCATGACTCGTTGTGTATACGCCTTTCAAAGAGCTTCGTGTTCTAGTGGCATTTTTGTTCCTTATTAAGAGTTTAATCTTCTATGTCTCCAAATGGTATATCAACACAACTTCTAAATCTAAGCACTAAAGAAAAGAAAGACAGCTTAAGAGTCTAGGCATGGTACACAATAAGCAGATTTGAACTTTGTTTTTAAAGAAACATTTTTGTTGTGGTTAAAACGAGTGATATTTTCATTACCATGTAAGGAGTTAATCAATAGGCCAAATCTCATCCTAAGTGCAGTAAGGAAATACAGTTTGTATCTGGGTGATGTTCGACTGCCAATTACTTATAGCAGTTGGATGGAAAAATTGACACTTTTTATGCATCTTTTAGTGTTTAAATATGTTACCAAGAGGATAGTTGAAATGGTTGAACCTGGCAGGTTAATCATAATTGCATGAATCTAAATGTAGGGAACTACATATTCTCATTCTTACTATAGGCATAAGCAGACAACTGTCGGAAGCTTATGATGAACAGTTTGAAATAGCAGCTAGGATATTTGCCTAGTATCATAAGCCTTTATGTGCCTAGTAATATTTTAAATTGATGTAGTGATAATAATTCAATTCATATTATTTTGTTTCATTAAAACTGCAACTTTTTGAGGCTTCAGCACTATCAAACATTATTTTTCATTCAACACTTGTTCATATGTCCCGTTAAAAAAAGGTAACTTTGTGTGTATCAAATCGCCTCTTATCATGAACTAACATTCATAACCTAACATGTAATTAACTAAACAAACGAAATTAATAGGGAGAAACAGAACTCACAGAGATCCATGATATGATTCCTACAAATTGCGCAATTATCCACGACAATATCTGCATCAACCAGCAAGTTAAGAAACTTAAGAATCATGAAGAAGAAAAACTCTGCAAAGGGGGGAGTTAAGTTTATGTACCCCAAGCCCAAAGAGAAACAGCGTTCCACTTTTTGATCTCAAATCGCTTAGCTTTCTTAGTTGAAGAGGAAGTGGATGCGGTGGAAGATGAGGGTCCGGCTCCGCCTGAACCTTCACCGGCTGGAACCATGGTGACATCGGTGTCGAGAGAAGCCATGGTAATTTGGTTGCAACGGATCAGTTACGCCAAAACAATTTTGACGATCTTTGTGTTTAGGGCATGTCGACATGGTGTTGCGATTGCAAATTACTATTTACTAATTCATTCGGAATCTTACTTTTCATGAAAATATTTTTTGTTATATAAAAAAAGGCAAATAATATAAAAATGTAATATATTTTTATTTGATTTATATTACCTTTATTTTTATATTTTATATATGACATCTTAAACATTATAGCATCCAAAAATACATGAAAATATATGTATTTTATTTTGATTCTGATTTTAAGAATATCTATACTATCTTATTAAACAAATTTAACAAAAATCTTAAAGTCTTAAAATTTTAAATAACCAAAATACCCTTTATACTACTTTTTCACCCCCTTCTCTCCTCACATACACTCACCCTCTCACAACCGATTTTTTTAAAATTATAATTTTAAATTTACACTTTATATCTCTATAATTAATTAATTAATTTACTTTACGATTCTTTAATTTTAAATGTTTCATTTTAAACATTTATCAAATTAACATACATAATCGTATATCAATTAAAACATGTTTAAAAAATACATTTTTATTTTAACAAGTTACACCATTATAATCGTATCATTAATACCTTCGAAATGAGTCCAATATTGAATAGTTTTTTTACTTAATTATATTATTATACATTATATATACTGTGAAAAAATATTTTTAATATTTATGATTTATACTTTTATAGTTATTTATTTATATATATACTATATATTTTGGGGTTAGGCTGTCCAAATTGCATTGTATAATATATTTTGAATTACTATGTTATTGGGTTTTTTTGAAATATATATATATATATATATATACATGTATTAATTCAACCTTAATCTGAGTTTTTGGATAAGAAAGAGGGTAAGCAGTTGAAATTTCATTCTAAAACCCATCTTTTTTGTCTTTTCATGGTTTATGATCTGTTAAATTTGTAGTTTTTTTTATTGGTTTTGAGTGTTTATCTTAAAACTCAAGTTTCTTGGTTCTTTGCTCTTGGTGTAAATCGAATACATTTGTGGAGTCGTTTAAATATGTTGGATTTTAAAATATATTGGATTTTAAACTGTTATACAATTTTTTTCCATCGATAGTCTGTAATTGGAACCATAACTCTTGTTTATTCAAATTGTATTAATATGTAAAGACCAAGTGTAACATATATCATCGTTAAATCTTATCTTATAAAACCAGTGGAACTTCAAATCATTAAAATTCATGGCTCCCGCCGCATTGTACGGGTACACAACTAGTGTTACACAAAACATGAACCAAATCAAAGTATGTTGTATTTTCTTTTTAAGTTATTCAATAATATGATTGAATTATAATTTATGTCTTTGTGATTGTTACTCGTTATTAAACCTATTTATTTTGAAATAATTGCAATTTTTAATCACTATGGTTAACCGTTGACATTTTGTTATTAAATGTAATAAAAATTCATTTGGGGGTTTATTAAGTATTTTATTTTAGAGGTGGAGTAGATACAATACCAAAACTTTTCGTCAATGTTGTTTGTAATTGATTTACAAAATTTTATGCTACGTATACTTGGTATCAATTTGGTTGGTACCGATTTTTTTTTTTAATAATACATATTAATATTGTATTCGTATAAATTTCAAATAACATATACTAAAATATATCTTGGACTCAAGTAGGGATGGCCAAAAACCGGTCTCAGATCGGTCCCGATCGTCCCAAAGAAGCTCGTAACACGCCATAGCATTTAAACCAAAAGTCACATATATTTGTATAATTAAAATTTCAACATCAATAAAATTTAGATACAGGTTTAATGCCACAACACAAAGAATAGCAAAGATGATGCTCATAAAATATTTTAACAATTTCTTTTTCATTGAAGACATCAACATTCCCCAATTGTGATGGTCTTCGTATTGAACAATCTTACTAGTCAAAATATATAATTGGTTTAAAACTAAATGGCTTGTTAGATAATAAATGTCCATGTTGTCACATTTTTTAAATCGCCTAAAATATCGTACAATTCTTCAATCACGGCACAATCAAGATTTCCAATAGAATTTTGATGTTAATGGTGTCTATAAAATGATTTTTTTTTTATCAAATTTTCAATCATAAATAAGTTGAATTCCAACGAACGGGCATATCGAACCTCACTCCCAAAGCTCTGAAACCAACGTTCTCGCAATACTTTCTATATTCCGCATTCATTTTCCTACCTTTGTGAAAATTCGCCGTAACGTAAGTCTAAATTTATCTATTACTGGTTTACAAGTATTTAAACCGTCTTGAACCGCTAAATTTATTATGTGTGCACAACAACGTGTATGAAATAATTTACCGTCTAAAACAAGTGTCAAATGACACTTTAATTTTTCCACACAAAGATTGTTATTAATAGCGTTATCAAATGAAATGCTAATTATTTTAGCAATTAAATTATAAAATGCAAGATATTTTTTAATAATAAAAAATTGACGTGCAACTGAATGTGACGCACCAAACGGTTCAAACGTGATTACACGTTTGAATAAATGTCACGATGTAAGCTCAATCAAATGTGTCGTTATGCATATATATGAAACTGACAATTCGTATAGTGCGCTCCATACATCACACATAAAAAAAATATTGTTAGGCAAAACAGAAAACATTTGTTGCATTTCAGCTCGACACGTTTTCCACATTTTAATTGCCTCACGTCTAAAGGTTTGACGACTTACTAGCTTGTATCGTGGTTGTAGTGTCTTTTGGATCAATTTAGTAACGTGAGGGTTGTCGAAATGTCCGAAAGGTAACCCGACTTGAATGACACATTGTGTTTGTCATTGTCGGTTCAACTCGGCATCGTACGACCATATTTGACCTTGTGTGTTAAGTATCGGTTGGCTTGAATCACCCACCCCCACTTCAACCCCGGGCACGTTTTTCAGTGTGCCTTCTTAAGGTAGAATTTTCTTCCGCCGTAAGGAGAGCTTGACACATTTTGCATTGTGTCTTTCTTTTCCCTTTTGTGAGGACCACCAAGTTGTAGTTATTCCAAATCTCGGACTTTTGTCCGTGTTCGGCGAGAACTTGGACAACTTGTTCGTTTGATGCATCATGTTGTTTACCGGCCATTTTGTAAGACAAAGAGAGAAAGAAATGCGAATTGTGAAGTGGAAACGAGAAATGAATACGAGTCGAATTCACAAAATATAGTGAGAAACTGAGAATTGTGAACGTTTTTTTTT